TGGCTGGGTGCACACCCCGACACAGTTACTCTCGCAAGTACCCTGCAGTTAACACTTCTCTGCACCCCACTGCAAGGTGGCAGGGGGTGGGGATCTGTGCCAGCAAGAAAAGGGAGTCCATTAGCCACTTTCTTCCCCTTCAGCCCCAGCCTGGCCCCTGGTGCTTGCCTTCGCTGCCAGCCCTCCCAGGAGGCACACACATAGCTGGAGGTGTTCGGCTGTGGGATTTGACACTTTGCTCCACTGTTTTGCTGCCCACAGGTGAAAAGCAGAGGGTCAAAAAAAGAATCAGCTCTGTGCCCATTCCAACTGCAGGCAAGGGGTTAGGGAGGTCTTTCTTAGGATGTCCTGGATTTACAAAGCATTGCTTGTGAACCCTGGTCTGATCGTGGTGCCTACAGACCCCAGTGGGGCACACAGCCCCACACCAGCGCGGTTCATCACCCCGCCACCGTGCTCAGGACTTTCAGACTGCACTCATTAGTCCCAGGTGCCTCTGGCTCAAGCACAGCTCAAGGCTGGTGTGGCAAGACCATAACCAGACTTGCGGTGTGTGCCATGTGCCTGAGCACGGGCTGAGCCTAGTCCTCTCCAGACTATGCTCTTTTTCCCTGTGCGGACATAATGCCAGCAGCTCAGCCCTGCACACTCCTCCATGCCGATGCAGATCATCAGTGCCTCTCCCCTTCAGCTCTGTGCAGAGGGGGCTGTGATTGAAGCTTCTGTTTGCTTTTGGAGCCCCAAGCACGGGCCCCTTGATGTGCCCCAGGACCAGCGATGGCTTGTACTGCTACCTAGCTTAGCCCAACCCCGTGGCCTGGAGCCCAGACAGGTCCCTGCCTGCCCACCTCTAAAATCAAGGTCTGGCTGCGATTTTTGCTGGCTTCAATTATCAGCAGCCCAAAATGGGAAACGCAGCCCCTTTTCACTGTGCACTGCAGTCAGGAAAACCAAGCAGCGTTCTTGCCTTGGATGCTCTCAGAGCTGTCTTTTGGGAATAGCTCATGGGCCAGGAATGTGGCTCTTCGGAGCACAAACTAGGATCACTGCTACTTTCCCAGTTAAAAACAGAGGAAAATAGATCAAATGTTAATTAGCAGCAGGGGAACCTGCTGCAGGTTTATTAGGATTTTCCCCTTCCGCAGAACCGCCTAATTAATGGGCAGGCTACAAAACACCGTAATACTTTCAACACTGCACATTTGCAAAGAGCACGGCCAGTGCCCAAAGGATGAATAAGTCGAGGGGGGCGGGCAGGAAGGATGGTGTAAGTACAGAAAAGGAGGACGTGAATTTGCCGAAAGAGATGATGAATCCCAAACATCATCCCTTGTTCTGCCAGTGGCTAACAGTAAGATGCTAGCACAGTCACATGGTGCTGTGGCTCTGGCTCGGTTCTTTATCTGTAAAATGACCTAACCTCTGAGCTAGTTTAGGCTGTAATAAAAAGGCTAGCAGCTGGTGCGAGCTCTCACTGGTATCACAGCAACAGCGGGAACATTTCAGAGCAAGCTCAGTTTAGCCGCAGCCTCTGGGGTTCTGGGGAACAGCTCTTTAATGTCTGCAAATGTGCTTTGAAACCCAGGGATGAGAAATGTGGAAGGGGAAGGACAGCGGTTGTTACAAACACGGCGGATAGTGCTTCAAGCATATCTGAATGCAACAGCTCACAGAAATCATGCCTGAAGAGTATCTCTGTGAGACAGCTCAGCTCTGATTTCTCCTGACCGATATAGCTGAGAAATATCCAAGGAGACCCAGTGAGCTGCATGACCTAAAGGATGCTTCAGGTGGGATGAAGCCAGCAAAAAAGCAAACGGGCAATTCTTGATGATCCAGCAGTGCAGAAGCTGTCAGTGCAATGCAAGGGCAGAAAGACCTCTTATTTATCCTGCTTACTGGGCAGATGGAGGTTAAGAACCGTAATGTGCTTTGGGCTCCCTCCCTCACACCCAGAGCTGTCTGCATGTCCCTGGAAGGATCCTGGAAACTTCTGCCCTTGATAATCCCCAACAAAAAGTCCTCTAGACTTCTGAAAGCCACCCTCTGGGATTTATGCCTCAGCCTTGCTGGGTTTTGTGGCCATAATTTTAACCCACAGGAAGAAACTGGGCTAGGATAAGGTCATTGCTCCCTCGTGCACATCCCTGGAAGGGGTGGCAGAGAGAGAGGAGAGCCCAAACATGAGCCATGCTGCCTGGAGGGGGTGGCTTTGCCATCCTCAGGTGCCCTTTGGCTCGATCCAGGGGAGCAGCCCATCTTCACTGCGTGGTCAGCCTTGCTTAACACCTCTCCAGGCTGCGTGATACAAATCCACAGGAGAAGATCCAGCACTGCCATGCTTCCACTTCAGCAGCTGCTGGCACATTTTGGAAATGGAGGCTGTCTGATGATCGCACAGTGCTCCAGATTTCTTACTTGTCAATGGCATAAAGGGCTTAAAATGTTATAATGGGACCTCCAGTGTCCACCAAAGCAGTTCATAGGAGAGACTGTAGGATTTCACAGTTTCTTCTCCTTCCTGAAGCAGTACCCCTGGGTTATTGCACTTATTAAATTAGGAGCTGTAAAGCAACTGGGTAAATAATAAATTGCTAGAAGGAAATAAAGAAAATGCCACCCAATTCAGTTATTAGTCCAGATGAGTGAATTAGGTGTTGAAACAGCAGCTTTGAAGTTCGACTCATTAAATCACACACCAATTCAGCGCTTATTAGGTCTCCAGTTAGATATATAAAAGCACCAGGAAGATAGGTTTGCTGTTAGCAATAGCCATTACTTTTTCTGCTGTGAGCAGCCTGCAAGTCTCATGCTGTTTACTGGGTTGTGAGAGAAGAATTTAAAGCACCAGCTCCTGGTGCCGTGTGAGAGTTTGGGAATTGTGGGGTTTGTCTCTGAAGAAGGAGTTCAGAAAGTGGGTGATAACAACCCAAACACTCACAAAGAGTCAGGAAGGCATAGAAAATGAGCTGGGAGGAGACTTTCTGGTCTATCTGTGTGTCCCAGAGGAGGATCAACCTGTAGACACTGCAGAGTTTACCTCAAGAAGTCAGCCTCTTCCACTCAGCAACATGGACCCACAGTTCAGAGACTTGCCCCCATACCTCAGTCCATACCATGCATCCACCCCCATACCATGCATTCATCCTGGATGTCCTCTTCCTTGTGCATCTCCTATGTACTTTCCCCATAACCCATAACTCGCCTCCTGACAGCTGACACTGTCTGAGTGATGGGCCAGCAGCTGGGATGCTCACGTGCCATCATTGCTCAGCCACCAGCTGGGCGATACATGCCTCAGACCAAAAGGCAGTGGTATAGAGCTTGTCAAAAAATATGAAAAGACCTTCCTTGAGCACAATACCTGCCTTACAACACTGCCTGATTTTTATCTAGCCTGACTTCTTTAATAAATTTGCATCCTAATGGATTACACAGATCTTAAAATTGGAGATCTCCGCTGGAGCTTAGTGTTCAGACATGGCACTGTTGGCACTATGTATTGAAAAGTCCTAGGTGAAGTCTTCGAAGTTATGAGGTTAAAAGAATAATACATTTTGCATTCTTCATATTTGCCTTATGTTAGGAAATATAAGGTCATAATTTCCATCTTTTTTCACAGCCACAATATTTAGAAAACTATTTTTGAAGTGAAAATTTGGATTCTCAGTTAATAACCTGATTCCAGGAGCAAAAAGCTGTAAGTGAATACGTTGCAGGACTGAACAATCCAGAGCTAGCAATGGCACGTATGTGCCTGGGAATTCCCAGTGCTCAGACATTTATAGGACCAAAGGTTTAACGAAATGTTCGGTCCACAAACCCAACCCTCTCTCTGGGAGTTTAGTATTTCATCTCCTAACCCAAATATTTCAGCTGGAACATTACGTTTCTTTAGGACTGAAGCAACTGGGCATATCTGTGGCCTAAGCTGCCTTTCAGCTTGCAGTTAAAATGGGGAAAGACCTTCTGAGATAAATAATACATAGAATACGCTCTAACCCACAGCTGCCTCTTGCTGAAACCATGTCCTTTCTGTAGTTGATCTGTAATTCGAGGAAGAATAAAGCTGACTCATCTCACATGCTTTTTGTGAGGTTTAAAGTGTTTGCTGGTTACCTGGTTAAAGGTGTGACATAAGGGCAAGTTACTTGTGTCCTTTCAACACCGCGGCTTGGAGAGGGCAGCGGCAGAAGGACGTGGTTGACCCACAGACCCCCAAGCTCCTGAGCACGGGGGTGCAGGAGCAATGTCTGCCTGGTCTTGCGTTCACCATAGCTTCTGAGCACCTGAAAGGCCTTAACCCATTCCCCACACATTATTGTACACACTTAGGATCATAGGATAATCCTGGTTGGAAGGGAGTTGAGAGCAGGGTCAGCTAGGAGGTCAGACCAGGTTACTCTGGGCTTTATCTAGTCTGGTCTTGAAAACTTTGTTTATGCTCCCTTTACAAAAGTTAGGGCCACATTCCTAAGGGATGTGACCAGGTCTCACAGGAAGGCAGTGACAGAGTCACGAATTTCACGTGGGTGTTAATCCCTCTTGGCAAGCACACAGAGGCCACAGTTCCAAGTTTTCCTCCATAACCCAGAGGATATGGTTGTTTGTATCTTTCTAATGATGAAAGCCAAGGTTTTCACTTAATAATCTAGGTCCAGGAGCTGTGGTTTTACAAAGAAGTGCACATTATGAGACACTTGATAAAAACGAAAAGCACAAGCTGACACTGTACCCCGACAGCTTCCTGCATCTCTTGATTTTATGCCAAGCCCCTTTTGGGCAGGAGAGGTTGTGAGGGGGCACTGGTGACTCCAGCAGGACACGAAGTTTGTTATTAGGTGATTTTTTTATTTGTCTTGCTAATGGTCCAAGAAACGTCTGTAAGGAGAATTAAGTCATGCTTCGCCTGCCAGTGCTCCCCACGAGTGATGTGCTGCAAGAGAGTCTGTTATACCAGGCATGATTTTCCCAGTTTTTGCCCACTGCACAGGTCCCACCAGCCGCATGCACAATGCTGGTAGTGTTCAGGCTGCCGGCATGCAGCATTGCAGGCAAGCCCAGACCCTTCTTGTGCACAGTGGTGCCATGAGCCATGGGAGAAGGCGCAAAGCCCAAGCCCTCCTGATGCCCCATGACGGCTGCATCCCTGGGGGTGTCCTCCATCCCTGCGCCATGCATGCTAACCCACTGCCTCTGCCTGACCTCTTGCTGGCTAAGACCTTCTCCACTGCCATCCCTTTTCCTTCCCTTCCTCCCCTGTTCTGCTCTGCGCACAGCAGCCTCCTCCTGTTGTCATAACAACAAGCATCAGCCCGTGGCTGCCATGCCAGCCCTTCCAGCAAAAACACCTCCTCATGGGAGAAAGCACTGACTCCTGGCTCCAAACCATCTGGCTGCGGTGGGGAGGAGGCCGAGCTCCCCCCAAGCAGAGGGATGGGGGGCTGCCTTGCCCCACCCACACATTTTGCCTCGGGTCGTGTTCCCCAGCACTCGGTGTTGGACACAGGCACACATAACGAGCTGTCCCCGGGTGGGTCTCTGCAGCACAGTCTCATCTCGCGGGTTGGCTTGCTGCCACTGCCCCAAGACCTGTGCGCTTGCCCGCATCCTCCTCTCTGTCTGACCGAGCCATAGCAAAGGGATGTGGGGCAGAGGCAGAAAGGGCAATGTCCCTGCCCAGCACCCCACGGTGAGGCAGCGTGTACATCTGCAGTGCGCATCGGTAACCTGCCCCAGCAATCCCTCCTCACAATCAGCTCACCAGAGTCCTGATATCCCTGGAGCCAGGTCCCCTGACCCTCTCAGCCCTTGGGTCTCCTCTCCTCCCTGTATGACACGACCCCAGTATGTAGCACCCTGAGGCATGGGCAGGATCAAACAAGACTAGCTCGGTGCAGATTAAGGAGCCCCATAGGCTTCCTGTGGCTTAGGACATATTTCCCTGAGCGGGACCAGGACCACAGGCACAGCCAGAGCTGCTTCTGAAGGCACCGGAGGCACTGGGCAGCCATCCTGTGTTCTGGAATATCTGTCAAATCCAAGGCCTCAAAGGCATTTCTCCTTCTGGAAGCCTGTGGCCAGCAACTGATTAAAGCCACTCAAGACTAGCCTGTTCAGAGCAAAGGGCTGCTACTACACTCAGAGGTAAGTAGGAAACAACACCAAGATAAAACAACAAAGACCTGAGGTTTACCTACTCTTTATTCATTCCTCGCAAGCTTTGTGAGAGCTCCATTCAATCCGGACCCTTTTATGCCAGGACCAAAACCCAACACCGTCCTTAGTGGCTCTCAGACTCTCTTTCCAGCAAGCTCTGCCAGCTCCACCCCTCGGGAGCATGCACGGCCCTTTGCACTGATGCTAGTGTGGAAAAGCAAAACCAGAAACCAACCAAAAACTTGCTGGCAGGGCTGGATCTTGGTGTGGACAGTTGCCCATGCCCACCTCCACCCTGTCTCGGCTTCAGTCCTGCTGCATCTCCCTGGAGGCATTACTTCATCTCCATCCCCAGTCCTTTCCCCTCTGTTATTCCTCCCACGCCAGCAGCTCCCTTCAGTGCAGCTCTGTGCAAGACTGTGGAGTGATTGAAAGCAGGTGAACTGTTTTGTTGTTAAAGTCATCCCGCTCACTCTCTACACAAGCTCATCAGCTCTTCCCAGTCGTGATGCTGGGCCACATTTTCCAACACAGTTCAGCTAAACCCCACCCCTCGGCTGGGTAATCTGGCACCTTCTTCAGCCAAGAGCCCTACGAGAGGTCAAGGAGTGAAGATTCCTGAAGGTGCTTTTACGCCTATGACGCACATAAAGGTATGGTTATAACAGGAATTCATCTTTCCAGGTTCTCAAGTCAAGCTCCCGAGCTGCTGGGAGGCTAAGGCTGAACCTGTGGAGAAGAAAGACCGTTTCACCATGGGACTCGGGTATTTAAAAAAAACCAGCAGACAGCCTCCCAGAGAGAGGTACCGGTTTGAACTTCCTACAGCATTGTCACAACCTTCCCCCCTTCGCACGTCGATCAGTAACTGCATTTCCTGGGGGGAACCAGCCTGTAACATCAGCCAAAGGATTCTTAATATTTTGATACTACGTTTGGCTTCCCAGGGGAGGAAACGTCTGGTCACTGTGTCTAGAAAACAAAGACTCTTTAGGGGGAAGGAATTTCTTGGGACACCTGATTAATTGGAGCCACTCTGGAGATTCGTGTAAACCAAATTGGTTCCAGGTTTGGGAGATTAGCGGGGTTTAGCTGCAGCATTCTCTAGACAGCGCTGGCTGCCTTTAAAGCGTCTCTGTTTTTAAGCATTGGAGAAACTATTTTTTAAAAGGAAAAATCATTCCTCCATTCAGTGGCTAAAGCACACACTGGAGGGGCTGGCAGGCTA